TTCATAGTATGGCCTATCAACTTTCTCAAACCTGGCAATTGAACCAAACATCATTCTCAGTAGCAATGAAAAATGTATAGTATCTCAGAATTTTAGTTTAATGTATATGATAGTAATTGTACTAACTTCTTAGGAATAGGCAGTGATGGATATCGTGCAGCCAGAATAGACACTAGTTCATCATTGTCAATAACAGTTGAGGAACAAAGGTAACGTCCCCTGGCAGTTTCACTTTCATATGCAAGAATGTGGCACAGCGCAACGTCGTCAATATGAACATATCCCATTCTTCCATGCCACTTAAATTTTTCCGTCTCCCCTTTTCATAGTGTTGTGGTTTAGAAACAACAATAGAAGCGATATTCATATAAGAAGAAATTGGTAAGTACCTACCTTTGAGCAAGCCTAGGACATCGGCTGTAGTAGAGCATAAATCAGGAGGCAAACTTGGTCCAATGACAAATGAGGGAAGAACAGTAACTAGATCGATCTTGTTTTCTTCACAGAATTCCCATGCAGCCCTCTCTGCTAGAGTTTTTGACAATGCATACCAAATCTAGTACGATAATTACAACAATTAAGGCCTAGCTAAAATCTGGCGATTAATCAGGCAATTGTAGTATGTACCTTGAGTCTCTCACAGAGTTCAACAGAGCTCCAAGATGACTCGTCCAGTGGTACGCGGGGATCAAAATCATCTCTTGCCCTTACTGTCGAAGAAGAAGAGGTGAGTACCACACGCTTTAGAGATGGATTCTTTTGGCACGAGCGCAGAACATTCAGCGTACCATCAATTGCTGGTTGCAATATTTCACCCTGTATGTTCCAGTCAAAACTAGCTGCTTGAGCAGACCGTCAAATTAAACATTGCCAAGAATTAGATGATTCTCACACCTTTGGATCGGAAGTGGGGCGTCCTAAGACAGGTGAAGCAGTGTGAAACACACCACTGCATCCCATAACTGCCTCGTCAAAGCTTCCCTCTACCATTAGGTCGGCCCTCACCAGAAACAGTCTCTCTTTTGCTCCTTCCACCTTCCATAGATGACCCACTTTCTTCACATTTTCTGCTTATATATTGTGTTAGTAATTCAGATAGGCTATAAACATACAATAAATTTGAGCAGCTATATACATAATACGTACCTATGTCCCTAACTGTCCCAGTGACATGATAACCAGACAAAAGAAGTCGCTTGATCAGCCATGAAGCCAGAAACCCAGCGGCACCAGTCACACAAACTTTACCCTTTGATTCTTGCATGCGATCCATATATTGAAATATAGTCTCAAGATGAGCCACATTTATGATATAACCCTCCCATTTCGTGTAGATTTATATGCCAGAAGCTTCAAGTACATGACATCATCAGCATGATAATAAGATGAAGGCTAGAAGAAGGTAAGTCATCTAATGCTTGTGGATCAGTCATATTTGTTGTATAGATTGCAAATGTATAACAAATATATAGTGTCGTATACTTCCAGTTTGTATATCACATAAACAACGGGTGAATTGGGCATAAAAGAAACACTACCGATGAACCATTAAGCTTGAAGCAGTTTGATAGAACTGAATTCATAAACAGACTAATCGGGGTACTATACTAGAAGCAAATGACACGTAGTTTTCATTTTATATTTCCTAAAGTTTGAGTTTCAGGTTCTACAATAGAACCAGCAATGGGACATCACCAATTCTGTAACTGAAAACAGTCGTAGAACAAACCAGACAAGGGTGACTTCTCACCATCAGACGTTCTCTTCCCTAATCAATAAAAGAAAAAGGCACTTGATTCTCCTTTTCCATAATATTACAAACCTTTAGGCGAAATACTGAGCAAAAAATTGAATAATTGTCTGCCGCCACTATTCATCTCATCATGCTATATCGATATATTGACATAAAGAGTTAAAGCAGCTACACTGACCAGACCAATAGACTACAAAAATGTTAGTAATTAAATCATTAGTAAACTATTATTGAAATCATTTGCTGCTGAATCAGGAGCATTGACAACCTAAAACTAGCTCAACACCCATTACAGTTTATAAGGAAAAAAAAAATTACAGTTTATAAGAGAGAAAAAAAAAATGTTCAAATGGGCACAAAAGCTGAATAACTTCTTCCAGAAGCAGTGGCACGAAAGGACCAAGGATTGGCAGAATTTTCTTTCAGTCATCCTTAACTTGCTTCATGTGCTCTCTATGCGCTGATGCAGTTTAAACAATTCCTGTCCTCAGATGTACTTACTGTTGTACCCTATTGATTAAGGCTAATTAGATCCTCATCCTTCAATCTGAATGTCCAACCAGGAAAGTCAGACTCCGAGAACAAACATGATGGAGTTGCTTTATAGAATGCCAATGGGACTTGCTTCACCCTTCGTCTCATCTGTAAGAACAATTTATAATTTCAGAGGATCAATTGCAGAAAACAAAAAGTGCACACTGCCATCAGTAACTATAGTCCAGCGAGAAATGAGTTGAAACGTAATGCAGAAATGAAGTCACATAATATCAACATGTTAAGGAAAGCCCCTCAACCAAGCAAATAGCAAAAATCATATAGGACAATCAACGACATATAAATGTCATTGCAATAAAGCTTACCTCGTTATTGAAAATTGTTGCGTATGAACCAGAACTGAAATCCTTGACTGCAATTTCAGCAGTTTTCCCTCTGACAGCCAAATCGTTCTCGAAGGAC